AAAAAATTTTTTTTTTTACTTTTTATATACTTGGCATGTACACGAACACTTGCTTTCCTTCTGGAATTTTGGTACATGCTAGGCAGAGGGTGTCTAAGTTACTGACCCCTGATAAAAACCCTGAGTCCCCAGGCTTAAGGGAACTTCACTGATGGACAGCACCTCATACTTACTGACATAATTTATTACTGGAGGAATTAAATGTGAACTGTGACACTCCATTAGGAGAGGCCTCTTGGAAACGTGATCCTGGTTTCCTTTGGACTTTGCCTTGTGTGCTTTTATCTTTTTATTGTTTTTGTTGTATTCTTTTGCTATAGTAAAGTCTTAATCATGAGTATCACTATATGCTGAGTCCTATAATTCCTTCTAATGAATTACCAATCCTGCAGGTGGTTTTGGGGACACCCCCCAAAACAATTACCTTTAATTAAATATGGCTACCTAAATATTAATTATAACTAAATTACCGTAGTGAAGACCCCAGATGCTGTGGACCAGGACAGACATGGAATCAATGGCATCGGCTTAGGCCAGTTGGATACTGCTAAGGAAGCCATCTGTAATATGGTAACAAAGTTTAGAGAACTTATGTGTAAGGTTTTACTAATTATAATGAAAAAATTTATTTATTTACTTTGAGACAGAGCCTCAAGCTGTCACCCTGGGTAGAGTGCCATGGCATCACAGCTCATAGCAACCTCCAACTCCTGGGCTCAAGTGAGTCTCCAGCCTCTGCCTCCCAAGTAGCTGGGACTATAGGCACCCACCACAACACCTGGCTATTTTTTGGTTACAGCCATCATTGTTGTTTGGTGGGCCCAGGCTGGATTCTAACCCGCCAGCTCAGGTGTATGTGGCTGGCACCTTAGCCACTTGAGCCACAGGTGCTGAGCCAATGAAAAATATTTAATGTTACCAAGTATTTTGTATAGTAAATAGTTGGTCAAAAAAACAAACACGAAATCCATAAACATTTCTAAGAATATCTAGTGATCTTGGTTGCAGATTATTTGAGGACTGTTTTTGCATAAAATCATAAAATCATAAATTCAATAATTAGGACTGAGTGACTAATACATGCCAGGTGAAGAACCATAACATATTTCCTGGCCCTCAAGGTACTGACTGCTTCATGGAGAAAACAGATTCAGGCTACAAAAGAACATTACTATAGCATAGTGAAAAGTACCAATGACAGTTTAAAAGTAGTCTGGAGGTTAAGACTCAAATCCAATGGAGCTTCTCATAGGAAGTAAGCTCTCTAGACCAGAAGGGTAAGCTATTATGTAGCTAGGTAGATGAAAGGGAATAAAGGGGCTCTAGAAGGGATGCAATTACATAGCATAGCTAGAACCCAATGTAAAAGCAAGCTTTTGGCAGGTTTTGAGCAGGAGAGAGCTGAGATCAAATTTAGAAAGATCACTCTAATTATGGTGTAGAAGAAAAACAGGGAAAAGATTAATGAGAAAAAAGACTAAAGACCAGGCCGGCGCCTGTGACTCAGAGGAGTGAGGTACCGGCTCTATGTGCCGGAGGTGGTGGGTTCAAACCCAGCCCCAGCCAAAAACTGCAAAAAAAAAAAAAAAAAAAAAAGGGAAAAGACTAAAGACCCAGAAACCAATTAGGAATCTATTTTAGCGCTACATATATTCTAAAACGTAGACAAAAGTAAAACAGGTTGGTGGCACTGGGGATAAAGATAGAGATAAATTCTATTTTCTAATTTAGTTATCTCAACCAACTGTAAAATTGGACATTTATACTTGAGATTTGGCGGTATCCTATCTTTTGCTTTTCTGCTACACACTGGAAGAGGAACTGTTGTCTTGGGCCACATATTAAATACACAAACACTAACAAAACCTGACTGGCAAAAAAAAAGATCTGTGTATACTTTTCACAATATTCAATACCACAGATAAGCAAAAACAGTCCTCAAATAATCTGCATGCAGCCCATGGGCCACAGGTTGAACACCCATGCTTGAAAAGTTAAATTTTATAGTCAACTTTTAATAAAATATTAAATCAAATATGTGAGATATAACTTTGGAGTAGTACAGTCAATGTCTACCTAAATCACACAAAAAACTAACACCATTATTTATAACTGGAATGATAGTTTAGAATCTGTTTCTGATTCCTACTTTTACCCAAACTAAAAATACCCTCCATAATTGACCACCTCCCTACATTGACCATCTCCTTAAGTTGACCTGATTTTCATAGATCAGACATGCACTACAGTAGACCTAGCTCCTTACGTTGGCCACCTCTATATGTAGACCAGTTTCTTCATAGTTGGTTAAATGGTCAACTTAAGTGAATTTTTAAAATAACCAGATCCCCTAGATCTTATAAATACAATCATCATTAAATATAAGTAGAAATGAAAAGGCTTACGTGTCCTCCCATGGATATTCCGGTCATTCCTAGAGGTCCATAACCCTCCCTCTCTAGCCAGTGCAAGAGAGCTGCAGATTCTAAAACAAGAGCTCCTCCCATCACAAAAAGGTCAGACACGTTTTTTAAGCTGGACCTTCTAGCCTCACGAAACAAAACAGAAAATCATTTTATTTTATGTATTGACATTTTAACATAGGCATACTTACAATAGGCAACCAGACTTAATGTTTCTCTTTTAAAGGACCAAATAGTAAATAGAATAAACTTAAGAATTATTGGGCTGCTAACATTATTGTACATACTGATCACCTAAAACATTAAAAAAAAAAGTGTATCTTCTCTACAGCATAATCTTTACTGAAATTATTAGAACAGAATTTTTTTTTTTTTTT